CCCCCCCCCCAAACCGCGTTCGCTTGCTTGCTTGCGCCCGGCCAACTTTAGCCTCGCAGTCGCCGGCAAGGAGTGAAAGTGCAGACTCCTCAGGGGCAGGTGGAGAGGACGGGCTAAGGCCTGCTGGATCAGACCAGTGAGGGTCCATCTAGTCCGGGCTCCTGTCTCACACAGGGGCCAACCAGTTCCTCTGAAGGGCCAACAACAGGGCAGAGAGGCCGAGGCCTTCATAAGAACATCTGAAGAGCCCTCCTGGATCAGACCAGGGATCCATCTTGTCCAGCATCCTGTCTCACACAGGTGCCAACCAGTTCCTCTGGAGGGCCAACAATAGGCCAGAGAGACCAAAGCCTTCATTAGAACATCAGAAGAGCCCTGCTGGATCAGACCAGGGAGGGTCCACCTAGTCCAGCATCCTGTCTCACACAGCGGCCAATCCAGTCCTTCTGGAGGGCCAACAGCAAGGCAGAGAGACCGAGGCCTTCATAAGAACATCAGGAGAGCCCTGAGGGTTCAGACCAGTGAGGGTCCATCCAGTCCAGCATCCTGTCTCATACAGGGGCCAACCAATTCTTCTAGAGGGCCGCCAACAACAGGGCAGAGAGGCCAAGGCCTTCACAAGAACATCAGAAGAGCCCTGCTGGATCAGACCAGTGAGGGTCCACCTAGTCCAGCATCCTGCCTCCCACAGGGGCCAACCAGTTCCTCTGGAGGGCCAAGAGCAGGGCAGAGAGGCCGAGGCCTTCCCCTGATAAGAACATCAGAAGAGCCCCACTGGATCAGACCCATGAGGGTCCATCTAGTCCAGCATCCCATCTCACATAGTTGCCAATCAGTTCCTCTGGAGGGCCAACAACAGGGCAGAGAGGAAGCACCTGCAAAAGGTCCTGCTCAGAGAAACCCCAGGTGTCTCAGTAGGGCATAGTTGGAGAGGTGGTCCTGCAGGTATGAGGGACCCAGGCTGTGATGGGCTTTGTATGTGCTACCCAATCACTTCAATTAAGCCTGATAAGAACACCAATTGAAGCAGTATCACCCATTAGTGTTTAATTGAGCATATTTTCTGAGAGAGTTATCTTTTCCAGTACAATGAAATATTTAAAGCCAGACTTTAGATCCTGTGTCAGAACAAATGGTGAACTTCTCAGAGAGAACAACTTTATTTAAAACTAGGAGCAAGGCCTGTTATAGGACCAATACAACGAGTCCTAGAAGGATGTGAGACCTCCCCGTGGCCGTGGCGTGGATGTGCCGCCAAGACCCCGGGGTGGCTGCACGAGCCGTGACAGTGTCCCTGTGCAGGCGTGAGCAGCGTACTCCAAGCTGGCTCCACAGCTGGCCGGCCTGGTGGCTGCCTCCTCACTACAAACCATCCACGTGCATTGGTCCGGAGCCAGTGCAGCGGGATGGTCCTCCGCCCGGCATGGCACCTCAGCCGCATGACACCTGCGAGGGGAATGAGAGCCGGGTCACGCTGCCGGCCCCCTGGTGAGACCCCCGGATCAAGGAGCGGCAGAACGGGTCAGCACAGTGTCCATGGTGGTGGGCCTCGGAGGCGTCCAGCCTCCAGAGTGTCCATCCCGCCCTGCAGTTTCCCAGAAACTGAGGGCAAGATGCTGCCCGGCGGGTCTGTGGGTGGGATGGAGGTGACAGAGGAAGGCAATGCAGCCAGGGGATTGGCCCCCCTCCTGAGTGACAGATCAGGGACCCAAAGGCTGGGGAGGTGTGTGGAAGATTCACACGAAAACTCATATATATATAAGGAGAGATAAAGCATGCTCTTTGTATTAGGCAAGAATTTGATGAACAGGTGAAAGTTAACCATACAAGTACAGAAAAATGCACACAATAAAAATCAGGTCTACTAAGATTTCTCACACTTAGCTAAATACAAAAGCATTACAGTTCTCAAAATTTAGGCAAGTCAGTTTTTAAATGGGAAGCCCGGAACACATGATATGCTCACCCAACAGAAGGTCTTTTCTGACTGGAAGCCACCAGTAGAAAGCCTCATTAGACCCTTACACAACACTTTTGACAGAGCAAAAGAAATAAAACTTTTGAACTTAAACCTGTGATTGTCCTCCAAACAAAACAATTTGGACCCTAAAGTGATTGTGCAAATGAGTAACTGTACTAGGGGGATTAGAATACATCTTGTAAACTGCCATTAAATTCTCAAAGCAAGGTTAGATGACAAAAGACTGCAGTTCGTAATTCCAGAGCAATAAATCTATTTCTTCAGTTATACTAATGAACTGTCAAGGTTGAGAGATGGTTCTGAAATTTTGGTACTTTTCCTGACCAAGAATTGAACTTTACAGAGATTATGAAAATACATAATACAGAAACATTCATAAATATACTTAAAATAATGAAAATGCAACATATTTCCTCTCCCCTGTGTGCATTCTTTGGTGGTAAGTAAGGTGTGCACTCTGACAGAAACCTTTTCCACACTGCAGGCATTTGTATGGTTTCTCCCCTGCTTGAATTCTTTGATGGGAAGTAAGGTGTCCAGTCTTCCTGAAGCTATTTCCACATTCCAGGCATTTATATGGTTTCTCCCGTGTGAATTCTTCAATGGGAAGTAAGAGTGTTACTCTGACTTAAGCTTTTCCCACACTCCAGGCATTTATATTTCTTCTCCCTTGTGTGTGTCCTTTGGTGGGAAGAAAGGTGTGCACTCTGACTGAACCTTTTCCACACTGCAGGCATTTATATGGTTTCTCCACGGTGTGAATTCTTTGATGGGAAGTAAGAGTGTTACTCTGACTGAAGCTTTTCCCACACTCCAGGCATTTATATTTCTCTTCCCCTCTGTGTGTCCTTTGATGGGAAGTAAGGTCTTCACTCTGACTGAACCCTTTCCCACACAACAGGCATTTATATGGTTTCTCCTCTTTGTGAATTCTTTGATGGGAAGTAAGTTTTCCATTCTGACTGAAGCTTTTCCCACACACTAGGCAGTTATATGGTTTCTCCCCTGTGTGAGTTCTTTGATGGGAAGTAAGTTTTCCATTCTGACTGAAGCTTTTTCCACACTCCAGGCAATTATATGGTTTCTCCCCTGTGTGAATTCTTTGATGGGAAGTAAGACTGGAACGCTGACTGAACCTTTTCCCACACTGCAGGCATTTGTATCGTTTCTCCCCTGTGTGAATTCTGTGATGGGAAGTATGACTGGAACTCTGAAGCTTTTCCCACACTCCAGGCATTTATATGGTTTCTCCCATGTGAATTCTTCGATGGAAAGTAAGACTGTTACTATGACTGAAACTTTTCCCGCATTCCAGGCATTTATATGGTTTCTCCCCTGTGTGAATTCTTTGATGGATGCTAAGATCTGAACTCTGAATGAAGCTTTTTCCACACTCCAGGCATTTATATAGTTTCTCCTCTGTGTGAATCTTCTGATGGCTACTAAGATATGAACTGCGACTGAAGCTTTCCCCACACTTCAGGCATGTATATGGTTTCTCCCCTGTGTGGATTCTTTGATGGGAAGTAAGAGTGGAACGCTGACTGAAGTTTTTCCCACACGCCGGACAATTATATGGTTTCTCCCCAGTGTGAATTCTTTGATAGGACATAAGATTGGAACTCTGACTGAAGCTTTTCCCGCACTCCAGGCATTTATGTTGTTTCTCCCGTGTGGATTTTCTGATGGACACTTAGTTCTGAACTGCATCTGAAGCTTTTTCCACACTCCAGACATTTATATGGTTTTTCCCCTGTGTGAATTCTTTGATGGGAAGCAAGACTGGAACGCTGACTGAAGCATTTTCCACACTCTGGGCAATTATATGGCTTCTTCCCAGTGTGACTTCTTTGATGGGAAGTAAAACTGGAACTCTGACTGAAGCTTTTCCCACACTCCAGGCATTTATATGGTTTTTCCTCTGTGACAATTTTCTGATTGACACTAAGGTGTGAACTGCGACTAAAGCTGTTTTGACACTTCAGGCATTTATATAGTATCTTCCCTGTGCGTGTTCTTTGGCAGGAAGTAAGGTTCAAACTCCCAATGAAGCTTTTCCCACACTCCAGACATTTATACGGTCTCTTCTCTGTGTGAATTTTTTGATGGACACTAAGGTGTGAACTGCGACTAAAGCTTTTTCCACAGTCCAGGCATGTATATGATTTCTCTCCTGTGTGAATTCTTCGATGGGAAGTAAGACTGGACCTGTCAGTGAAGCTTTTCCCACACTCCAGGCATTTGTATGGTTTCTCCCTTGTGTGAATTCTTTGATGGGAAGTTAGGCGTGCACTCTGGCTGAAGGTTTTTCCACACTCCAGGCATTTATATATTTTCTTTTTGTGCTCATACCTTAAAAAAAAAGTTGGCCTTAAAGGTGTCCCTGGACTTTAACTTTGTTCTATTGCTTTTTCCACAGTCCAGGCATGTATATGATTTCTCTCCTGTGTGAATTCTTCGATGGGAAGTAAGACTGGACCTGTCAGTGAAGCTTTTCCCACACTCCAGGCATTTGTATGGTTTCTCCCTTGTGTGAATTCTTTGATGGGAAGTTAGGCGTGCACTCTGGCTGAAGGTTTTTCCACACTCCAGGCATTTATATATTTTCTTTTTGTGCTCATACCTTAAAAAAAAAGTTGGCCTTAAAGGTGTCCCTGGACTTTAACTTTGTTCTATTGCTTCAGACCAACAAGGCTGCCCCCCTTGATCTACTCCTGGGACAGTGTAGCCTGGCTGCAGTGGCCAATGTGCATCGCATCACCCTGCTGTGCTGCAACCACA